GTGCCTCCTTGAGATGGAACCTAGGAGCTACGAGAGAAGAAATTAAGGCGTTAGGAAGGTGGAAATCTGACGCTTACAAGATCCACTTGAGAAAATTCGATCTGAAGGAACTAAAAGAGACGGTCAGATTGTTGAAGGAATTAAGGGTAGAAGATTAGGCTAGTGCTATGATGAACCATGACAGTGTTGATCCTCATCGGTGTCCCCCACTTAGAGGCAGAGATAGCGTCACCAAGGGTCGGATCCTTTTGTAGAGGTGAAGAGGGGGTTTAGATTGTTTCCACCTTAGCCCAGATCTGAGGTTCACTGCATACGGGTAATCCTCACGCATACTTTGAATCTACATGCGATTGAAGTTTGAACTGCAATTAAGATTTAGTTCAGTCACCACCTGAATCAAGAATTAAAGTTTGATTCAGTCTCACGAGTCCTATGATTTCGGGTGAATTGATCTTTAAGTGAGCCACGCAAGGGTGACACAAACAAATGCCCTAGGTGTATGACATTAGAACAACCGCCGAGTGGTTGGGAGGGCCATAACAGCCAGTCCTAGAACAAGGACTCACGAGAACCGAGGTTGGGCGGTGCAACTCCTCAGGCTCACGGCTCGTCCCCCGTGAGTCATGGGGTTGAGCAGTCTGCCCTCCTCAGGTCTACTCTCGTCCCCAGGGGTAATCAAATGCCAAAGAGAGGAAAATCTCTTTCGGCATTTTCTTACCCCTGGGCCCCCCCCCACACCACACATAGTAGAATGTTAGCCACGTATAGGGTTAAGTTCTGCTGTGGTAGATTAGGCCAGTGGAGAAATAACAACCATGAGCCCACTTGATAGAGAAAGCTATATATAAATAGACCTAGGATTTCGACTAGGTATCACAGACACACCCACTTGACTCCACTCTACGTATGAATGGACTCGTTCACAACTCGTCAGCAATAGGTTTGCCAATTTCCCTCGGGCTGTACTCTGTACTCTGCTGGCCCCGTGTATGTACAGTCACATGATACAACAATAAACCCTTTCACCATTCCTCACCTTCACCTTCATTTGTCAAGCCTTGATCAACCATGAAAAAAGAAAGGAGTTGGGTGGGGACATGATGAGGGGTGAGATACTTGAACGGTTGGAATTGGAGGTTTTGAAAGTGCTGTGTATGTGTATGTAGTATGTAGTGTACTCAAGGGAAATCGGCAAACGTAACGTTAACGAGTTGTGAACGAGTTTCTCAATTCGAGGAAATTTTGAACCCGGACACCAAAATTCCGTTCATTCGAGTTTCAAACGAGTTAATTCCCGCGGTGTAAGTATCGTTCAGGTTAGACTTCATGTTTGCACTGTGCTGATACTTAGCACCGCGGGAATTATCAAGTTCAAACCCCAATTAAGCAGAATTGTGGTGTCCGAGTCCGCAACTCGTCTCACTTGCGGATCTAGTTCACATTATGTTCACAATACGTTCACAAGTTTCCCTCGGGTTTTTCTGATAACCCTTTGTCATGAGACATACAAACCCTTTCAGACCGACAAGTGTCTTTCATAGTACATTCCCTGTCCTCGCTATTTACGCTTACCATAGACATGCCTTCAAGAATGTTTGGCAAATCCAGATTTGATGACTGTGGCATCCTTAAATCCAATGGAGTCAGGATGGCAAAGGAGCCTGACCCGTCCTTGGCCCGTCAGCCCACGTGAGTACAGCTTGAGGGCAACTTGTGAACATATTGTGAACGTAATGTGAACTAGCTCCGTGATTGAGACAAGTTGCGGACTTGGACACCACAATTCTGCTCAATCGGGTTTTGAACTCAATAATTCCCACGGTGTAAACTAGTACAGCTGTTCCTTAAAAGCTTGGACAGTTGCTTTTGGTTTCTTGCTTTTTGTTTTTTTGTTTTTTGCTTTTGTAAATCTGAAAAATGCTTCAAAATCACGTTGAAGCACTGATTTTTTTTTTGACAAATAATCCATGAGCATCTGATGGTATTTTCGTCAAAAAACCTATTTTTTATAATACATGATTATGCTTTGAAAAAACAAAATGAATCATTTGTGTGAGGCTGTGAAACTTTCAGGCACAATTGCTGGGAGTCCTGTCACCTACGTGAGAGCTTTGATGACGTGGGTCAGGGTCATTATGAATAGGACTACATAGTCCTATTCACCACTGTTCTCACCTTTAACCTCACACTTACCTCACAAAGATGTCCAACAAAGGTAAACAGAAAGAAGCTACTGTATCTTCAGACAAGTTCACTGGAGAAGTTGCTTCTACCAACTTTGAATCTGAAGTCAAAGATGAATACAACTCCGATCTCGTTATCAAATCTTCTAAAAAACCGTACTTGTCACAATCTGCTTTTTGCTATGCCGCCTGACATCCCCAAGGAGGTTGACAACAGGTCAGTGTTTTATTTTTCATACTCTAGTGACAATATCTGAGAACTGACCGATGATCACTTTGTTACAAGTTTCACTGCTGAGCAAGCAAACCCCACTCTTGTAGCCAAACCAGCCATTGGTGGCTCTGTGAGGTGAGGGTTGTAATCCATTTTGATTGTTCTTGACTGTTGTGTTTTGATGGTTCTGACATATATGTAAGCAGCAGTTCATCATTGATGCCGTCACCCAAAGCTCAAGCACCTCAATGTAGAATTTGAGCCATTCAAGCGTGTTGAGCACATTTCGAATTCAATCCAACTTTACCAGATGTTGAACATAGCAAGATCCTTCATGATCTCCAAGATCAACCTGAATCTTCAAGTTTCAAAAAAAAAGAAATCAAAAGAAGAAAAGAAATTAAAAAAAGAAAAGAAATTAAGAAAAGAAAAGAAATTAAGAAAAGAAAAGAAATTGAATGAAGAAAAGAAATTGGATGAAGAAAAGAAATCAAACAAAGAAAAGAATTCAAAACGCAAATCACCCAAACAAAGTGGATCGGGCAAGCGTCAGAAGCGTAAAGTATCTGAGACAAGTGAATCAGACAACCTAGAGGCAAAGGTAAGTCTCCTCATATTCATTTAGTGGTCAAGCTTGAACTAACCAACTGGTTCACCGCTAGGCACAGAGTCCAATTCAAATTGAATGGCCCCTGAGCCCAGGGCTTGGTTCTTCCACGCCGCCAGCGCTTGGTTTTTCCACTCCGCCAGACAATCTTGAGCTGCACCCGAGTCTCAGAGTCAAGGAAACCTACAAATCAATGGCTGAACATGTGACAAGCGAAGAGTTTGAAGAACTTGAAGAATCAATAGTCAGAGAAGTTTGTATTTGGGTTGGTTATGAGATCTGGCAGGAGAGAGAACAAAAGGAGATTAAGAGGGCTCCTTCAACATCAAAGCGCGTTCAAATTAAACCTGTCAAGCTGATGTATAAGAAGGTCACCAGCACACCTAAAGGTGTCTCGCATACCAACTCATTCCTAATTGACCCTTTTGACACCAGTCCAGAAGAGTTCAAAACTCTTGGAATGATCGAGGTTGACCAATACGTACAGGATATGTCACTCAACCTCACCAATCCCGACCCACCCAAAGAACTCTCATGGATTGTGACTGAACAAACACTGACACAAGCTGACCGTTTTACAATATAGCATGAAGGGCAGTAAAGCTTGTATTCTCTCCTTGGGTGAATCCACTGATGTTGCATTGCAGATGCGCCTGGAAGCCGGTATGGGTCATAAAATCCTTGTCGCATGTTTTGCTGGTCAAAGGATTGATCAAAGGGCATGGATATTTGACTGTGTCGGTGTCTGCAAGCTTTTGTCCTTTGCGGACGGTTCACAATATAGTCGTGAAGGGCAGTAAAGCTTGTATCTCTCCTTGGGTGAATTCAACTGATGTTGGATTGTCAGATGCGCCTGGAAGCCGCTATGGGTCATAAACTCCTTGTCGCATGTTTTGCTGGTTGAAGGATTGATGAGAAGGCATCTATATTTGGCTGTGTCGGTGTCTGCAAGCTTTTGTCTTTTGCGGGAACTTTTGTGATACGGCATGAAGGGTTGTAAAGCTTGTATTTTCTCCTCAGGTGAATTCAACTGATGTTGGATCGTCAGATGCGCCTGGAAGCCGCTATGGGTCATAAACTTATTGTTGCATGTTTCAATGGTCAAAGGATTGATGAGAGGGCATCTATATTTGGCTGTGTTGGTGTTTGCAAGCTTTTGTCTTTTGCGGTAACCTTTGTGATACGGCATGAAATGCTGTAAAGCTTGTATTCTCTCCTCAGGTGAATTCAACTGATGTTGGATTGTCAGATGCGACCGGAATCCACTATGGGTCATAAACTCCTTGTTGCATGTTCTGTTGGTCGAAGGATTGATGAGAGGGCATGTATAATTGGCTGTGTCGGTGTCTGCAAGCTTTTGTCTTTGGCGGTAACCTTCTTGATATGGCATGAAGGGCTGTAAAGCTTGTATTCTCTCCTCAGGTGAATTCAACTGATGTCGGATTGTCAGATGCAACTGGAAGCCGCTATGGGTCATAAACTCCTTGTTGCATGTTTCGTTGGTCGAAGGATTGATGAGAGGGCATGTATATTCGGCTGTATATTTGGCTGGAGCTGGACCTGTTGGATTTGGAGCCTCAGGTGAGGGCATATAGGGCTTTCGGTCTGCAATTGTCGTGAGGCCATGATGGAATTTCAGGTGGGATACATATTCCTTGTAGCTTGAAGCAACACCGGGGTTGCATTCCCCAATCAAACAGTGTCCCCAGTCCTGACCGGAACGTTGTACCCTGACATGGTGGGCTAGGGCCCTGCTGGAAGTGTACTTGAAAGTGTCATCGCATCCTGTTTCTGAACAAGGCAGGGGGACAAACTGGTGTGCTTCCAAGATATGCCGCTCAAGATCCCTCTTGGTGTTTGCCTTCATCTGGCACCGTTCGTCAGAGTCGCGGAGTATCATAGTACATGTATAAGATTGGTATCCGGGTAGTGTTTGCCTGTGTTGGTCTTTCTTTGCTTTCTTAGTGGTACATGTCTTCATATGCCTAGAGATCTCTCACAGACTGAGACTGGTTTGGGTACAATCTGGGATTATACATCTGTATTCATGAAAGGATCTGAGGTCTCTTGATCCACCGTTGATGGCTGAAGTGCTCTCCAAGGGGTTATTTCCTTCAGCGTAAACAGTTGTGTTTATCCTGGAATAAAATTCAACAAATTCATCAGATGCCTTTGGCTCGTAGTTGGAAGTCCCTTCCTCCATTTGAGCTCTGGCAGCGCCGTTGATGAAGAGAGCCATCCCTGTGGAATCTTCAGCTGAAACATCTTCATTGTAAGTCATGTCCGCCTCCTCCTCATCCTCCCCTCCTTCCACTGTTTGAGGTTCAATTAGAGTTTCCTCTTCATGATTCACTTCATGATCATCCATGAGGTCTGTGCTTGATGGCTCCATCCAGGCTGAAGGAAGGGATGAGAACCAGATATCAGTTTGAGTTCAGGATGGAGTTGAGAGAAAAAGACTGACACACCAGTACTTGATCCGGCCACCATTGGATCATCTTGATGATTGTCTCTGTCAAGTCGACTCATTGAATTCAGTCTCATCACATGGTCCATCAGGTTTTTCTGGAGTGGATTGTGCTGATAATCTGATGATTTCTGGAGGTAGACAATTTTATCGTAAGGTGATTTTTTTCTATATCAGTGATGTCAGATTGGAAGATATCTATATCCCTCATGGAGGCTTTACAATGCTTGAATTGTTCAGTGAGATGATCCCATTCAGGGTTATTGCCAGTATAAAGAGCCGCTGTTCCACTATGTTTCGTTCTATCCAAATGATGGAGTATGAGCTGGGCTGTATCAAGATTGAAAGACATTTAGGTCCGAGCTTGGCAGCATCTTCCACCACTCCCCTCTGCATAGCATGAAAGGAAATTGTCTGTTTGAGCCCAGAGAGATTTGCGATGTGGCATAGAGAGTTGGAAAAGGCTGTCCCATAAGAATACCGCTGCAACGAGTCAACTTGCAGATCACAGGGGCAGTTGTATGATTCCACTCCACTGCAAGGTTTGATTGTTGTTGAGCATGCTGGAAAACACCATTGAGGGTGTTTCCAATGACCAGACTGTGTCTCAGAGCATGTATCAAGATCCAGTGGATGGGACAGATCATGGGACATTGGAGTTGTGGTCAAACAAAATGAATCAAACCTTCTGTCTGCCCATCTTTATTGCCCTTGTCAAAAGCCACCTCAATAAAACATCCTAGCACATCCTCCATTTTGGCAGCTCCACTGGAATCGGGTTTCATGAAGATTTCAATATGTTGATATTACATTACGTTGTTATTCTGATACCCTTGACCGAGGCCGAGAGCACCGGCCCGGCATCCAGTTGCAAGAGCAAGAGAGACCGTAAGTGTTAGAGATGGTAAAATGTAATTATGTGTCTGATGGGATTCGAACCCATGACCTCAGTGCTAACTGAGACACATGCTAGAGTGCTGCCTTTGCCACTAGGCTACAGACGCTTGTGTTGCCAATGTTGTCACTGTGGTGGGTACATGTCTCTACAATACAGCTCCTCCAGACTGCAAGTGATTAATCATGCAAGCACACTTCCAACAGCTCAACAGTAAGCAATCTTGATATTTCCGTGTCCCAACTGGAACATCCAGTGTAAGCTAGTTTGGCGAGTGTTGCGGTGTTCATGTGCCGGACAGCCATGATAGTGACCTTACAGCGGGGATAATACATTCCCTTACTAAGAGCACCCTGATCCTCTGCGTCTTGAATTGCTGACAACACCACTGGCGCACCGCTAATTTTTCATAGCAGGGTGATTCAGCGCTATGAAAAATGGCCAATCACTACGCTATTTTTTCTAAGGCGCTATGTAAATAGAAAGCGGAGCGCGTAAATAAACCGCTTGGCTCCGCTATGCCGTTTTTGGAGGGAAGATAGTGAAAAAAAGCACAGTATTGGTTTTTTCATTTTGGCCATTTTTGAACCAACATGTGTTCTATTATTCACGGCAGAGTGTGGATGATCGATTGCTGGTTCTTGTCTTATGCCTTGGAAACCTGAAACAATTAATCCGGAAAAGGTTTTGGATACTAAGGATTGGGATCTCTTTGGATGTGTTTTCTTTTCCCTAGCATTGATTGGTTATATTCAAACTGTTTGTGCTATTGGTCTTTTTTTGTTTGTATAGTGATTTGCCAAAGATCAATGCATTTGTTTTACCAACCAAAGAAATGTTTGTTTATTCAGGTCTATTAGATCTCTTAGATGAAGATGAATCTCTTACAGCCGCAATCATTGCTCACAAGGTCTTTTAACCTTCCTCACTACATTTTGTTTCCACCAAACTCATCTATCTCTCTCTTTATCTTTAGATTCACAGATCGCACATGTCATCAAGAGACATGCAGTTGAAAACATGGGATTCTCAGCGTTATCTGCAGTAGCATTTGATGTGATTAGAGGGATCTCATTTGCTTTGACAATCAGTTTTCCAATCGTTTCAGATGGATTAGCTACTATGATCAATTTAAACAATGTAGTAGCAGAAAGAGCTTATAGGAGGAAACCAGAAACTAAAGCTGATGAGCTTGGACTCTTGGTTTGTCTATCCTTCCCCTCCCTCCCCTCACATCTTATTTTGAGAATACTAATGTGACTTCTGTAAAAAACGATTGATTATGGCTAGAGCAAGTTGAAAATTAACAAAAAGAAATAGGTGAAGTGAATTGGTCAGATGACGTTCCTTGGACACAAACTCATCCAACTGGTCAAAATCGTGAGATGGTGAGTGTTTTTAAATCATTTACTTTCCTCCTTCCTTTCTCTGTCCCTGCTATGTCATCAATAGGATGTAGAGTTGATTGATTTTTAATTTGGTTTGGGGATTTCTTATCAAGTGTATAATGATTCAATCAAACATAAAGAGTTGTATGCCTCTTAAGTTTATTTGTTCACCTGTTTGTCTTTTTTTTGAAATTGTACGCTTGGTTGTTCATTTATCCAATCGATCGTTTCTCCATTTGTAATTGATGAAGCGCCTAAGCACTATTTGCAATACCAAGATGAACATCAACTTGCTTTCTGAAAAACCGTAAATAGGATCCTTCTGCCCGCCTCTGCCCAATTTTAAATGCTGAGCTTGGTCAACCAGGCAAAATACCAGGTGTCCGGGTTGCAGTCATATTATGTACAATGGATGGACTTTTGGTGTACTACAGCTGATCATAAGGCAGGACCCTTGGCAAACAAGTGACCACCCAATTTCAGAGCCTACCAAAAGTCTGCCTTCTCCACATATTGAAACTGACCAAAATTAGTCGGTCATCCTTGGCGGACATATGACCACCAGATGTGTCTGTGGTGTTATATTTCCATCTACCTACTACATATCTTGCTTGGTGCGCTATGAGATTCCTGGCGCTCTGTCGCGCTATGTTGCCTTATAGTGGTGCAATGTTTTGCTATACAGAGTGCACAAAAAAATCACTATATTTCCTAGGGTCTGGCCCTAGCTATAGCGGAGGTGAAAAACCGCTATGCCAAAAAAGGCCTAGCACGGGGGGAGCGCGCGCTAGGCTAACGCTCCGCCCGCGCTATTTCGGGCAGAGCAGCGGGGTGTTGTTGCTGAAGCCAAGGTTTTTTGATTTACACGGTTCATGACATAACCCTTATGATGGTCCAATGCATATTGCACAAGGTTTACAAATTTGGTGCTCATAGTTTGGCTAGAAATTGAAACCATTCTAGCAGCAACACACAAACCGGACCGCGGGGAAAAACGGCCTACGGTACGGCGCGGTACGGTCTAGACACCGTAGACTGCGGTCCGGCCCGCTACGGTCAAACCGTACCGTAGTCTGGGAATACCCGGATAGTAAGGGGGTGTAGCCGTACCGCTGTATCCGCCTTCGGAGTTATCACCACCGTAGTTCGGAGTGAAGTACGATCACTACGGTTTCTTCAGCCTCAAGTTCCAGAATCCCGATATGGTAAGATTTCGACGATTTGGTCCTCATTCATCCCGATCAAGATCCTTAACAGCAAGGGATAGATTCAAAAGACAAGCAAGGGATGTTTTAATTTGGGTTCGTTCGTTTCTTTTTTGTCATTTTTCTTTTCTCTTCCCACTTTTCTCCATCGTTTCCCTTCCTTCACAGTTTCTTTTTAACTTTTATCCTTTACCTTCAATAATTCTTCTTTGAGTTTGACGCTGAACCATGTCATCTGTATTATCTGCTCCCAAAACTCAGAGTTCAAATTCCCAAGCCTCCCAATCTCAGTCTTGTTCTTGTCGCTCTAGTCGTGTTAGCCCTCTTCGCCGTGATTCTACTTTTGTCCCAACTTCGGCTGACTCTCGTAGGTCGTTATATGCACCCGATGAAGAAGACGAAAGCGGTGCCGACAAAGACCCAGAGGATGATCCAGAAGAGGATGCAATCATGGACTCTGGAGCTGGAGAACCTCATACCCCAACACGACCTACTGCTCTTGCCCCTCGACCTA